GAGGAGCCAGCCAACCAGAATATAGAAAGGAAGTGCCCTCCACAGTGTGCTCTGTAGAACTTCCGAGTAAGAAGTCCTTAACAGTTAGGTGGTTCAGTTCTCCATCCAGGTGTGAAGTAATTTTTTCCAAAACTGCAGCCTGCCATTGGCAGTGAGAAACCACCCTCTCAGACAAAGTAGGCAACCATCACGAATAAGGCTGTTCCCGTTGTAATGACATGTCTGTTGGATCACGAGGCACAGGCAAAGGGACAGAACACAGAAGGCTTGGGGCAGTGTGACAGTCTGCCCTAGTAGATTTCCCATATGCTTTTAAGTAACTGCAAACCCCAGGACAGTTTGTATGTATTCCTATGGGGGATATAGCCAGTAAGCAAAGAAGAGAAGGCACATCTGAGTGCCCTTCTAGTTTCCAAGACCAGAGGTGGAGATATGTATACTGTGCTTGAGGTAAGCGGCTCAGGAATCCATGTTTTATATAGACAGTATTTAAGGACTAAAATGGAGTTAAATGATTTTAGGATCTCTTAAGGTAATAAAAGTGAATAATATCAGGCTTCTATTTTATTTGAGGCTATGCATGAGAATCTAAAACACATATGACTATATAGTACACAATGTAATCCACTGCCTCTGAGTTGATTCTGCCTCACAGCAACCCTGCTGGACAGAACAGAAGTGCTCCTAGAGTTTCCAAGACTTCCAATCTTTACAGGGGCAAACCACCTCATTTTCCCCCATGGAGTAGCTAGTGGATTTGAACTACTGACCTTCCAGTTAGTGGCCCAGTGATTAACCACAGTGCCACCAGAGCTCCTTTCCTCTGCATATAGTGACTGTTGTTTGAGATACCACTCTGCAGCTGGCAATGACATCTCATTGAATCTCACAAGAGCACTGTGAGGTACTTAATTTGAACCCCACCCTGACTACAAAGCATATTCTTTGAACCACTAACTCTAAGCTAGGGATTGACAGACTTTTGTTTTCAGCTTTACAGGCAAATCTCTGTCTCAGCTACTCAACTATGGGACATCAGACATAGACAGTCAATTTAGACCATACGAAGGAGTTCACATTGTATTCGAAGAACCATGAGAAGCCATTGAAAAGTTTTGAGTAAGGGAGTGTATGACCTGATTCTGATTGCTCTGTAGAGGATAGATTGGGAAGGAAGAAGAGGCAAAAGGCAAATTAGTGCTGGTGTAAATCAGATAAGAAATGATGTGTTTTTTTTAGATGATACTGGAATTAGGAAAGATAGGGAGAAGTATATTGATTCAAGATATGTTTTGAAGGAAGTAGCAGTGATACGTGGGCCGAGAGGGAAGGGAAAGAAGAATCAAGAGTGGGTGTGAGAGTAGTGGAAAGGAAATAACCCAGAATGTTAACTAGAACAGGATGTTGAAACTCAAACCATTTTTATCACTGAAAAGGAAAGTGAGACTAGAGAAAAGTGATGCTTAGAAGCCTGAAGTAGAACGCTTTTATGGAGAAATAAAGTGAGATATGGGAGGAGGGTAAGTAATAGTTTGTGGAAGATCTTAAATATTAAATGGGGGCTTTTGTGTGGATAAAGTGGGCAAGGGGACCTCTGTAGGAATGGAAAGGAAAATACCAGTGGGATTTGAAGAGACAGGATGTTACACACCAAGGTGGAGAGTAAGGGAGACCATGAAAGACCAGTGTGAAGTGCCTGCGGAGAGTCTAAATGGAGAGAACAAGTTCAGATAGGCAGCTGGATCTCTGGGTCTAAAACTCAAGGAGGGATCGGGCTCTGAGACAGAGTGATAAAGGTAGACATCAGTTTAGTGAAAGTGGAGAACAATGCTTGGAGAATGTGTAGAGTGAGTAAAGGATTGAGGAGAGAGCAATGGGAAATTCTGAAGCTGAAGAAATGATCAAAGAACAAGAAACCAGTAAAAGAAAGGTGTGGAATAGACAGATATGGTTTTGGAAACTAGTGGAGGAGAATTTCAGAAAGATAGCATTAAAAAAAATAAAGATAGCGTGTTGAGTTTATTGCAATGTTGCTAATGGGAGAATTGTGCAATCAATCCTAAATGGCCATTAGTAGGGAATTAGTCAAATTGAGGTACATTTATACTGCAGATTTCGATGTTTTGGAGTGCAGAAAACAGGGCAGGTGAAAAAGAATACATACTAATCTGTTTATCCATAATCTGGCATTGTGAGGTGCTGATGGTCAGCACAGCAGAAGGAAACAGCCCAGTCCTGTGCCCTTCTCACATTCTTCAGCCACAGTGGAAGTCCATCCTATGGGGGTCATCTTTCTGTTGACCCTTTACCAAATATGATGTCCTCTAGAGAACTGACCTCCCAGTAGCACATCCCACGTAAATAAGAGAAAGTCACCAGACTTGCTTCTAAAGTGCATTCTGACTGTCCTCTTTAAGACAGATTTATGCATGTTCAGTATATTCAATATTCCTTGCCAAAACCATAATTCAAATTCATTGTCTTTTTGTTTTGTTTTGTTTTATTTTGTTTTGTTTTTTTCTCAGTCATCTTTTTTTATTTTTTATTTTTTAAATCATTTTATTAGGGGCTCATACAACTGTTATCACAATCCATACACACATCAATTGTGTAAAGCGCATTTGTACATCATTCTCAAAACATTTTCTCTCCACTTAAACCCCCAACATTAGG